GACACGCGGGATGTAGTATATAAGACTGCCATCTGCAACTTGAGTCACGGTATATTTTTGAGATCACCTTGGGCAATAGTTTTACCCGCAGTCGATGTGTAGACAATGCAAAATGTAATTAAAGGGGCACGTTCCCGCCAGTGTAGTTATCGGAACATGCCATCTGCGTAAGAGCCGTATTCAGTTGGTGTCAATAGGCAGCTATAGCACTGTCCGCCAGCGCGTACGTATTTTGAACGCCCTCTGGAATACAGGGGAACATGCCCCTTTAAAAGCAGAAAGGGTCAAAAATAGGTTTCAAAAATTGTCTAGAGCACATATCAGGCTTCTTCTCATCCCACAATTATAATAATAAAATTGGGTTCTTGTATAGCGCTCATATCTGTCAAGACTTGACACTCAAGGCGCTTCACATTATTACTCTGGCTTTAGCACGGCTGCTATTAAGGCGCTCTATAGCTCTAGCAAATACATATTTCAGATCATCTCGTTTATTTCCAACAAACTAAACTAAAATACATAGGGTTGCATTGTTAATAGTAAAACAATGATAATATCATTTTAATTGGTCCGCAGTGTACAACAAGCACATTAAACAAGTTGGTCATGGAGGGGACTGTTGAAAAGCTGTGATTGTGGATTGCATTAAAATTATAGTTGCAAAAATAGTATATCAATAATTAGGAAACGCACAAATAAACCGGATTGACATAACATAACAAGAAGTGAAAGGGACAGGAAAGAAGGGAGACAAGGAACGAGAGAGTACATGTAGGCACATCCTTCTGGAGCTGTGTTCAGTACTATGGAATTAGCCTTGTAGGCTGTAGCAACAGTAAGGCATGTGAAATCTCTCACTAAATGCATAAGGAATAGCTCTAAATATCGCTAAGTCGGATAACTGTGCAATTTAAAAACAATCATGGTTTCGTGGACACGTGTTAAAAACGGAAAGGCTAAGACACCGGAGGTATGCGCGTAACCAGTAACAAATCTTTGGTTAAAGGGACAGTTGAGTTCTTGGTTAAGACCGCAAATGCCTTCAAAGTGCAATGTTATTGCTATTATTTTTATTTATGACATTTCTAGTGCCCATTTATGATCTTTAAATTGCTATGAAGGTAATTTTACACTCCAAGATGTGTGAAATTTAGATTGATCCGATCATACCAATTTAGCTCCACTTTAAAAAAATACGGTGACCGTTAATTAATTAATTAATAATAACAACACACGGGCCGGCTAGTTGTGCATACTACAACCAACACGAAAAAGCCAACAATATGCCATCATTGGCATTGGCTGCAAAACTATCAAAAACTTGTAGGGGACCCAAAACATTAGAAATGGTTATATTTATGGATCTTTCAGCCGTCTCTGAACTAGTCTAGTTTGGACTCTATATTGATTTTTGTTATTCGCCGACTATAAACGTTAAGCCGAGTGATGGCGCGATCCTTAGTCGTTTATAGTCGGCGAATAACAAAAATCAATATAGGGTCCAGAACTAGACTATCTCGATTTTGATCCAACAAAGACGATTTATCATTTAAATTGTATGCTGTTTGAAATTTGATACTAAGTTTTGCATTATCTCACAAAAATAGTTAATGGTAGCCCATTTATTGCTTTACAGCGCTCCCCTATCCCTATTCGAATTGCTTTTTCTTTTTCTTTTGTCCTAAAAAGATTACGTCAATTTGCAAGCTGGGAGCAGCAGCAGAGAAGGTCGGGTCCGGGTCTACTATCAAGGATCATGGTGTACCGTATGTGACGATGGCTTTGGTCTAACTGATGCGCATGTAGTTTGTAGAATGCTAGGTTATACCTTCGCGGAGTCCTTCGAGTGCTGTGCGGCATTCGGCCAAGGAACTGGTGACATTCTTCTGAATAATCTCCAGTGTACGGGAGAGGAAGTGACGATTGGACATTGTATGCAGAATCCATTTGGAATGCAAAACTGTGGACACAGTGAAGACGTGGGAGTATCGTGCATTAAACGTAAGAATAACAATAATAATAATATTGAAATAATTTAAAGGAATTCATTCATGATAGATACCCATTTACTTCACATGGATCGAGTGTGGCAAATCAATGATGATTAATGTCTCGCTTGATAGCGTGATAGCCTGGGACGGGGTAATGACCTAGCGGGGATGGATACCGACAGTAGTAGTAGTAGTAGTCACTCTATGCAGACCGAAGCTATTTTATTTTCCACATAATGTATTTAATGACAAGATAATCACAATAATAAACGTTATGATATAACAGAAAAATTAGCATTGAAATATTTTTGACATTTTTTTTAAAGGCTTGTAATGCAAAATTATTTAGTTACAGATATGGAAAACGAATTTACTTGGAAGCAATGCTTGCTAGGTGTAGCTTCGCACAATAATACATTAAACTTAATACATGAATAACTGAATCTTCGAAGATTACGGAGTCGAATAAACATGCCGGACACAAAAACGAAACAAAAACAAATACGTCAAACGCAGGTGTAATACTCGTTAGCGAAGGTGAACATCGTCGATACATATGATGCATATTTCTACATTATACACTAAATATGACCACTTTTTGTGTGAGAACAGGTACAGTATGGTTTCTGAATACGCACCTTATTTTGGAATTATCGAGTAGACGATTACCCTAATTTTCGAAAAGAGCAGGTATATACATGTACACTTTCAAAATGTTCGTTAACATCATGAACATGACCCCTTCCGTTAAATGTCTTCCTTTTGTGTGAGGAAACTAATAGAAAGTTGTCCCAAACTACGTCACAGTGACATTACCGATTCAACTAATATGAAGTGCCTATACGTGATCAGAACTTGAACCTAAATATAATTTTCTTGTTTGTCCGATTTCATTAGAATATTCTCCTCTTTGTTTTTCTAATGTTTCTGCTTTCTTTAGAAGTACTAGTCTGCCAAGATTTTATCTCTCTTTTTAATTTGGTGTATTTCTAAACCAATTTCTTTTCAATCTGGCATACATTCAGACCACATATACAACATTATTTCATTTGTATCAGTTCCCGTGCGTCTTGTTGACGGAGCTTCAGCCAATGAAGGGCGAGTCGAGGTGAACTACCAAGGATCATGGGGTACAATCTGTAATGACTCCTGGGATATCAAAGATGCTACCGTTGTTTGTCGAATGCTGGGTTATACTGGAGTCTCTTCTGCAATGGTGCGCTTCGGAGAAGCCACAGGTGATATCATCCTCGACAACGTAGGATGTTACGGGTCAGAAACGCACATCGCACAATGCACACATGGCGGCTACGAGATCCATAACTGCGATCATTCTGAAGACGTTGGTGTTATATGCAGCGGAGAAGGTAAAGTTGCAATTTCCGAAAATGTAATACTATCACTCAAAAAAAAAAATTAAAGCAAAGAAGTGCATTTCAATATATTCCCTGTATTAAAGGCGGCCTATCCTGAAACAAATATACTAATGAATCATGTTATTGTACTTCAAAGCACGAAGTTTATCATGTTCCTCTCAGAAGGTTTTATTTCACGTGTTATTATTGGTTCTAGGACACCTACCCCCTGGACATCCACCGCCGGATAACCACCCCTGTCAACTACCCCCTAAGACAAGTATCCCCTAGAGCAACCACTCTCTAGGACAACTACCCCCGGTAGAACTATATAAGGGGGTAGTTGTCTCGGGTGTTTTAGAATTATACCACTAAGCCTGGAAAATGTTCTCTCTTCAAAGAATCAACGAACTATATTAAGATATGTTCGACAAACAAAGAAATACGATATCCTTTACCCCCCCCCCCCATCTTTCTATCTCCCCTCCATTTTTGTGTGTTGTTTTTGTTTTTGCTTTTGTGTACTATAAACGTATTATGTAAAGTCACTGTCTATCCGTCGATATGTCCAGTGCATGCTTCTGTTATATTTGTTTTTGTTTTGATTTAAAAAAAAAATGTTTTAAAAGTTTCTTTGCTCGTTCCTGACAGAACGACATCGGCCAAAACATGGAAACTCAAGTGACGTCATGCTTAGAAGTACACTGTGTATCTGAGTGGCCTAGATCCGCAGGATTGATAAGCTCGCTCAATGACTAGACTAGGCGTAAATAGTCAAATCTGACTGAGCGCCAACAACAACGGGTGTAGTTGTCCTGGGGGAGGGTGGGGGATGGGGTACTCGTCCTATAAGGTGGTTGCCCTAGGGGGTAGTTGTCCTAGGGGGACGTTGACTGGGGTGGTTATCAGGGGGTGGATGTCCAGGGGGTAGGTGTCCGGATATGGTTATTATTACTTGATATCATTATCCAAATATTATGGCTCGCTTTATGTTCTCTCAGTGGCCGTTTTCGTACATAGCCAGCCGCAAATGGGGATTATTCGACGAAAAATCAATGCTTTTATAAAGCCCAGATAATTTCGTAAACATCAACAAATTAGTTAACAGTTAACAGTTAGTTACTTGTAGAAAACCAAGATAAAACACTTGTCAAAAGAAGGCAACTGCACCAATTATACAATAAACTCCCAGTTTGTAAAATCTTGTTGGTTTGATACAGATTTTATGTAGTGCAGCTAGGCTATTATAACAAAAATGCCAGAAATAAAGAAAAAGGTGGTCTGGCCCATATGCAAAGACTACACAGTTTATGCATACAACTCGAATGAAAGAAGACACTCATGCTGACCTACACGTCGCCGACTGACTGCGTGGAAGACTTTGCTATATATTCTACAGACCCGATCCATATTAGTAGGGCGTGCGATCTGCCATTTTGAAGACAAGAAAAATTTGGCAAACTATTGTTTCAAGCCATATCTGTAACATGGCTTGGTTTGATTTAATTTTTCTATTTTTTAATAATAATAATATTGTTTCACAAGTTGAAATTCATTTTGTAATTTCTACTTGTAGCTGAACTCAAGGTTCGCCTCGCAGACGGTCCGGATGAGAGCCAAAGGTCGTGTTGAATTATTCTACTTCGGGTCATGGGGTACCGTCTGTCATTCCAACTGGACCCCATTGGACTCGGAAGTGGTCTGCAGAATGTTAGGATTCGTCGGGGCTATAGCATATTCAACCTACGCAGCATACGGACGTGGGACAGGGGAAGTGATACTACGTTGGCCGAGATGCTCTGGAAAAGAATCGAATCTTCTTGAGTGTGATCCAAGGTATAATCTTGGTTACACTGGGTGTAGACATACATCCGATCTCGGAGTTTCATGCTTAAAAATGGGTAAGAATTCAACCATATTGAAAAGTCAAGAATTTCGCGAGGATGTCTCATGGTATGTCACATGACACCCCACTTGTTATTAGTGGCGTAGCTAAAAGAGGACAAGGGATCACGTGCCAATCTTACATGTAGAATGGCTAACAAAGGGTAAAGATGCTCGAGAGCGGAGCGGGGGACAGTCGAGTAGGGAAAGGCAGCAAAATACAAAAGACAGAAACAAAGAAGAAGAAAAGCATGAAAGGACCCATTCCCCTACGTACAACAACGGCCCTTTACCATGGCGTTTAATTCACCGGTGACCGGTGTCCACACTATCCCATGACCTCTAAATGGCGGGATCGATGCGTAAATCCAAGCATTAATATTATGCCAAGAAAGCTTTACGATCTTCAATATAATTGGAAGTCGAGTTTTAAGCATGTGCTTCGGTGCAGCGCAAGTCCCAGTCAATTTAAGCACTCCGTCACTAGGAGCTTTTGTGACTCACAAAGGTTCCAAGTGATGGATCCTAGTCTCTGTCCTGAGTGCTCGTTCGACCAAGCACATTCAGACACAACTTTGAAAGCAGCTTGTAACTCTCAGTAAAAATCAATGCGTGGAGGCATTGTGTTCAAAATGCATGGGAAAAATCTTTCAAATTCAACCTACGGTCAACATAGATTTTGGGGGAAAATAATACTGTGGGTCAGTTATCTTCAAAATCTATGACGAATGGGTCATGTAAAGAAACGTTCCACATTGCAAATATATCAAACAAATATATAAACCATTACTTTTTAAATATTTACGAACAGCAGGCTCAAGATTTTCCCCATTTATACCACGCACTGAACGATGAGGGCACTATATTCACTGTGCGATATCCGCTGCTTTGTGAGCATTTGCCGGCGGTACTCGGTTTTCCCAAATTTTCCATTGTTTTCCCGAATTTCCATTGTCTGAAAATCGTTTGTACGGCGTTCGTAGCAGTTCGTAATGGCATTTGTGACCGAGGCTTAAACGAAATAGAATACTTTAACATTTCTTTCCTTGTTGTTCACACAGTGACTGTTACTTAGTAAAAAATAAATGTTTTACATACCAGCTATAGAATAAATATTTCTCTCATCTTCATAATATTGAATAATCTTCAAAGAACTTAAATTTGGAATTTTGTTTATTAAGCTGTTGTACGAATAGTTGATTCTTTTCCCACTTGCGTTTGAGTGAAGCATGGAGCCTCCAAATAGAATGTATACCAACCAACACTGGCAATCCCTATGCCTAAAATCCCTCATTTGCCTCTCATCTACCATCGACCCTCCTGGGACGCAATTTGGCTCGCATTTGAATACTTTATTTGACATGCAAACAATGAGAAACAAAAGCAATAAGACCTTTTACCTTTAAATTGTGAATATCACATTTACTGATCCCTTACCATACCCATTATAGAACCCTAAGCTTCTGTTAGATAATATTTGTTTAAAAAATCATTATCAAGGAAATAAGAAAATAAGTAGAGAAAAATACGTTGAAACTGTTCTTTTAGTAAGAATATCTGGCAAGTAAGGAGTTAAGAATCTACCCCTAAAAATGTCTCCTTGGGTTTCTTCTTTAAAGAAATATTGACCATATTAATAGCAGTAATAGCGTCGCCAGTCTACCTTCCGTCGGCAACGTGATACTAGGGACTTTTAGATTTACACGACGAGAACGTGGACCTCTACGTGTGACATCCTTTTAAGGCAATCTGCCGGTCACTGCCAGTGCCTTTAAGACGTCACATTGCCTGAAGAGGATGTCACACGTAGAGGTCCACGATCTTGTCGTGCAAATCTAAACGTCCCTACTGTTGTCATTTGATTTCAGATGATCTCCGGGTGCGTTTGGTCGGCGGAAGATCTGAAAACGAAGGCCGTGTTGAGATTCTATACCTTGGTACTTGGGGGACAGTGTGTGATGACAACTGGGGCCAAAATGATGCCAACGTGGTTTGCAGAATGCTCGGCTACGAACGGGCGGAGAACTTCTCCTGTTGCGCTGCCTTTGGACTAGGATCTGGACCTATTGTTCTGGATGAAGTGGAATGCGAGGGTACAGAACCAAACATAGGCCATTGTCGAAGAAGTGACTACGAAACCCATGACTGCGACCACTCGGAGGATGTTGGTGTCTTATGCATCGAAAATGGTAATTGTTGTTTAAACACGTAGCAAAACAACAAACAACAGCATCAATATTTTAATAACAATAAATTATTGTTTAATTTTCGAGGGAGTTAAATCAGTTTAGTTTATAGAATATATAGAGATACAATAGATTTACAATTCTGCATTGCATTTAGAATAGAAGGCTTATAAAAGTTCCACGTATGAAATTACCGTGTACATAGTCCTTAAATGTACTATGTCCAATTTGCAGGGCAAACAAAAAGGTTAAATTCCAATGACATTTGAAAGACAATACTAATTTAGAACTTCTCTCAAAACGAATAGGCTTGGAAATGGCTTTTAGTGGGGAAATAGCGACCATGAGTTGTCGAATCGCCTTAAGCGATTGCGTGTGTGTGTGTGTGTATTGGGTTTTTACAGACGTGTATCAATCAGATATGATTTTTTACGTCTGGAGACCGACCTTCCAACGTCACCATCCGAAAGACGTGACTCAGTTTCGAACCTGCCTCCTCGGCTGAATCAGTTTGTAACTTCCACTGTTAGCTGGATTACATGCGCACGCCACAAGAAGTTGCGATCACCTAGGTAATAGTCTGATTTTTAGATCCTTTAACCGAATGATCGTATGTTTTGTGCTGCACAAAGATTCAATCAGTTTAGTTTGGCAATTACAAATAGTGGTTTATTGATGTAGACAAATACTCATGTACCCTTTCAATTTTCAATATTTTATGTATGTTATTACCAAAGAAAAACAGATGTCAGTCAGACACTCAATAGTGTTTGACAGTGAAGTCTAAAAGGTGAACGGTTCTCCTTGCATACTAAGGACACTGCTAATGTTTGAATTTCACAGATAGGACATACATGACATATTCATAATTCCTGCAAAGTTCTAAAGAATTTAATGTTGGTTGAAAAAGGGACATAGTATCTTCCAAAAAACATATTCGGATCTTCAGCAAGAGTTTTGAAAGAAAGGGAGCATGTTGTTCAAAACGTTATGACCCTTCTTTCAGTCCACAAAAAAGTCCTTGTAAGGAATACTTATAATATACTTCCGTAAATTTGTGCATATTTCTACCTGTTTCGCAATGCAAACCTACAAAACTTGTGCATTGCAAGTAAGGTAAAATATAAGTAATTTAATATGAAGGTTTTGATTCCCTTTAATTCAGGGCCCTAGTGTACTCTAGGACACTAAGGCGCCACTGAACTACTTCGTCTTTTGGTTTGGTTATCTCATCCCCACTCCATTGACTCTACATGCACATTAAACTGGGGAAATAATTTTGCAAACGTTTTTACGCGCTTTAAATGCAATGTTAGATGCGAAATTCGCGAAAATGGCCGTAAAAAAGCCACCACAGATTTTTACCTTCAATTTAATTCAAGTTCGGTTCACCTGTTCATCAATCGATAGGCTGTTGTAATGGAAACTATTGCACGCTTTTTTAATGAAAACAAAGTTAGTCTAGTCACATTTGCTCTACGGTTAGGACACGGCGGCCGTAGGCTCCCGAAATCGAAAGACACCTGCGACGGCCGCAGAGGATCTGCTATGGCCACAGGGTCACCCTAGGGAGTATCTCTATTTTTCACAGGCCGTAGGGGTCGCCGTGGGATTATAGCGCGGAGTTATACATTTTTGTTATTCCCAGGTTCCAAGCTACGAAAGCTTGCAAAGAGGTCACACAAACAAAAAAATATGATTATTTTCTGCTTTATTTACTATTTATAAAGGGAAAAAAAAATCTTCAAGACAACTCCAAGGTTCTATTAATAATACGCTGTCCTGATAAAAAAAAAAAAATTGATTTTTATAATTACTATCACCCTATTAACAGCCCTACCGGATTCCATGTGCGCATGCGCTGGTTTCCTTTGGGAGTGCGCATGCGCATGTTTCCTTCGCGAGCTAAATCTGGGCTCGCTATAGCGCTAGGGTAAGAAAAAATAAGACGCCACCAGCCCAGCCCGGCCTAAGCACTTAGCATTTTTTCACCGGGCCTCCTAATGTAATGATCACGCCATCTTTGGGTGGCAGCAGGCGCGTATGCAGGGGGAGGAGGGGGGGGGGGGAGGGGGTGGTTAAACCCCCTTTGAGTTTTTTGTATGTATATGTTTTATCCCAATAAACAAAATCACGTGAAAATCACGTCAATATCAAGGTATCGACTTGAGGAGAGTTACGTTCTTCAAACACCGGACATTTACGTAAATGTGTTAATACGTTTATTGCATTAGGTAACTTGAAACAAACGTACACTAAATCACGCAATTGTCACTGCAATATCACCATTATAATAACGTGATTATCCCTACCTTGGAGACCATGGTTTGTAAACCTAATACTCCCGTGTTTGTTTGGTTGTGAAATTACATCTTCATACACGAAATTATCGCGTCACAGAAACACGTGAAGCGTTAGTGATAGTTTTAGTCAAAATATCTGCGTGAAATTCACGTGAATATTACGAGGCTGACTTGAGATGAATCATGTTCTTCATTCACGTGAAATTTACGTCGAAGAGGAAGTATGTTACTGTAACCCGCGTTCAACCCAATAATTACGCGAATGTTACACAATAAATGAACTAAAATAATGACGTTCTCATCCCGTTTCTGAACATCGTGTCTTGGATCTTCCATAATTACGTCCAGGCGCGCCGGAAGCAGTTTGGGATTAGAGGGGGTTGGGTGGGGGGGGGGGGGGTGGATGCAAACATCCCAGAAGAGAAAGCTAGTTGCAACTGGTCCAGTTGATGAACCATTTAATGCCAACTGGTAACCCTGGAAATTGAAATGGACTAAATGATCCAGTTGATCCAGGCCAGTTATAATTCAACTGATCTAGCTGAGCCATTAGAACCATTTGGTAAAACTTCCAACCAGTTGAACAGCAACAATACTTCAATACTGGTACGTCTGTATTTCCAATGTAAGGGCATTGGTAATAAGTAGACTTACATAATTGAATTAATCGAAAAAAATTCGTATACTTGTACTTTATTGAAATTATTTTAGTTCACAGTTAATGTTTCCCTTATTCATGTTTAACTATTTATACGAAGTAGCGAAATGTCCTAATAACTGGTAATTTATATTTGTAGTATTTTCGAAATGAATTGCATATAACTAAATCATCAGTAATTAACAAATATGCTGTAAATTCAGATAAATTGTTTAAAAAACATAGATCTGCACGCACCCCATATTCAATATGCAAATGAATTGGTGTCAGCTGGGTCAACTCGAAATATGCCAACGCTCAGTCATCAACTGGTACAACTGGAAATATGCACACTCCAGTTATCAACTGGTGCAATGAAAATATGCCAACAGTCAGTTATCAACTGGTGAAAATAGAAATATGCCAAAAGTCACGGGATTATCACCACGGAACTTAAATGGTAACTGTGAAACCATCAAGACACCCAAGAATAACTCATTTTCACACATGAAAAACACGGAATACCCAGCTTATATTAATAATCCGTTTGAGTCACGCGATCATCACCGCGGAACTGCTGGCAACTTTGACTACGATTTAAATAGGTGTTTTGAGACACCTAATCATGACTAATTTTTCACACCTAAAAGTCACGTATGCCCAGCTTAGATTAATAATCCGTTTGAGTCACGAGATCATCACCGCGGAACTGCTGGCAACTTTGACTACCATTTAAATACGTGTTTTAAGACACCTAATAATGACTAATTTTTCACACCTAAATATCACGGATTCACAGCTTAGATAAGTAATCAGTTTTAACTACGTGATCATCACCAAGAAAGTTATGGTAACTTTGAAACCATTTAAATAGGTGTTTTAAGACACCTAATAATGACTAATTTTTCACACCTAAAAGTCACGTATGACCAGCTTAGATCAATAATCCGTTTGAGTCACGAGATCATCACCGCGGAACTTATGGCAACTTTGACTACCATTTAAAAAGGTGTTTTAAAACACTTAATAATTACTAATTTTCACACCTACATATCACGTTTTCACAGCTTAGATTAGTAATCAGCTTGAGCCACGTGATCATAACCAATAAATTTATGGTAACTTTGAAACCTTTTAAAGAGGTGTGTAAGACACCTCAGAATTACTAGTTGAATATAACCAGAGATTCACGGACAGAACAATAAGACGATTAGCCGGTGTAAGTAACGTGATTATTACCATCAACCTTGGATAACATGTGAAACCAATCAATAAAGGTGCTTACAAGACCAAATAATTACGTATTTATCGCCACCATCGGTTAACTGACAAAAAAATCGTTGCTTGGTCAAGTGGTAATTTGGTAATAAACACTTGATTTACAGAGGTAAGTGGAATCACGTTACTCCAGTCGCGTGATAAACTGGTGGTTTTTAGGTTAGATAAAAACGTGAACAGGAGTACCTTTTTTGTTTAAATGAAGGCACGTGTCGATAACGTTTAAATCTAGTTCAAAGGGCACTATACTTTAAAATCACTTAAAATACACTCCCAAAAGAGGTTACATTTTGGTGTTCTGTTTATTGGGTATGTATGTTTTTTTGGAACCCTCCCCCCCCCCCCCCCGCTTATTCAGCGGCTGGCTGAGTCGTTGCGATTTTTTGGGACTCCAAAAAAAAAAAAAGTGTACGCTTAACCCCCCCTTCCCCCCCCCCCCCCCCCGCTTTTTTAGCGGCTGGCTGAGTCGTTGCGAAATTTTGGGCCCGATTTTAAACCCTCCCCCCTTTAAAAAATCATGCGTACGCCACTAGGTGGCAGCAAGTAACAAGTTGGTGTGGTGGAGATCAAAATTAAATAGGCCATATTGTAGACTACCCTAACATTTGTAAATGCAACCGTTTGTGAACAATGTGACTGTGGGAATGCTGCGGCAGCCCTATAATTGCTATTGGACGTAGATATTGTAGACCCCACGGCCGCGGCGGCAAACGAAGCCCACGTAACCGCGTTTCACCATTCATTTGATAATGATATAGGAGAGAGTTGTATAGTGATTAATTAGTGATATAAATGTGATAGGCCTAAT